GCGTGCCCATTTTGCGCAGGGGCCATACGAATCTCCCCCTACAGGATATCCTTAATGATATCACCCGGCCCCTAATTCCTCGCTTTCCCCGCACGGGCCCGGCTGGATTTTCATCCGGGTTCATTTACAAACCTCACATGGGTCCCTTCGGCGTAACTCTCCCTAAAAAATATCCTCCTTATCCTGCCGGTTTCTGCAGAGGATCTGAGGGACCTCAATCGCAACCGACCCTTTCTCTCTATTTCCTTGGCACACCCCTACCTCGGGTTGCGTTCGGGTTCATCCCCGGACTTTTATGAGTGCTCCTTGCACTGCTGTCACGCAGATCTTCCTACAGGGGGTCTTCGGCTGGCCTCCCTCTGAGGACAGATTCGGCACGCCGTACATCCTTTACCCTGCATCGAGCACTCCGGCCCCGCCCCCAGTTTTCACCCTTGCGTTGTTGGCACATCGCGCCAATCCTCGGAGGGTCCGGTCGTCCACCGAGGGTCTGGCCTCTTCCCTATTTTCCTGAGGATCTGGCCTTATTCCGAGGCCCGGTTCAACCACGACCTTAGCCACCACTTGGCCAGAAGGCTCAGGCGCAACCCACCTAAGAAGACTGAGCCTCCCCTTTTTATAGGACTCAGGCGTGCGGGCCCAACGCGCGCTGCAAACCGTGGTAGCGGCAACGCTCGGGTCCGCCCCCGCTACCTTTGGTTCGCGAGTGCCACCTTTACGCATGGGCCATGCCAACCCCTTCTGTGACGTTTCAACTTCTAACGGTGTCCCGACGGACACAGCCTGTGTCGCGGAGGCAAGCGGCCCCCAGGCAGTTCGGGATGCACTCCTTGCCCACCAAGTTCCCTAATCTGGGTTTGAGCGTCGGCTTATTTCGTGGGCATACCCACCGCGGTTTCGTGCCCTCATATGGGCGTGAGGACAAATAGTAGTAACAAAAATTCGAAAAAAAATAATTATACATATACATCCTCGCAAACGTGCGGCAATCGGGAGGGAACCGCGACCACCATAAATGTAAAAGGCGAGGGGGATAGTCCCACGGCCCATCAACCCCTCAAGCTTTTCGCCGCTACTGCATTGTTGTCCGCTGGCCTCGTTCCCCGTACCTCCGCCGCAATAGTCCAACATCGTAACCGATAGGGCTAAGCCCAAGCCTGGCATCAGCCGGCGTGGCCTCCCATAAAAACAGTACCGCGCGGTGCCCCTGGCCAAAACACCGCCTTGACCACCCCTTTTCAGCCCACATTGGTACCCACGGCCCCTAGGTGCCCACACCGGGCCACCGTCCCGCGCCGTGGCCATCCCATGTGCCTACCGACACACCAATCCTACCGTCGGTTGTGCGCGCCGACCAAAAACGGACTGTCGTCCCTTAACCAATCTCGTGGCCTAGTACGGGTCGGCCGGCTACCCCGGCCCCCCCACTCAATCAAAAAAAAAAAAATCACACGCGCGCCTTAAAATTGCGCGCCCACATACCTCCTACCAGGACAAGGCAGACCTTTGCCAGCGCGCTGACGACCCTCGCATTTTCCCGCACGGGCACTCCAAATCCAGGCTAACCGAGCCTTTCTGTCACTTGCAAAACCCAGGGCGGATACCCTTGTAAGGGTATTCGCGCCGACAGCTTACCTGACCATATTAAGCGACGTCCCCGTCGAGTCGCCAAATCAAAAAGCTATAGATTCCTTCACACTCCAAGTGCTGACGAGATTAGAACCAATCCGATCAGTCGACAGACTCAGGGTTGAGGCCTCCATCAAACCATGCCAACACAACTATATGCTGTCAGGGTTTCAACCTGGGTCCCCATTGTCATGAAAACAGGACGCTGGTGTATTACGCATCAATACTACAACGTAAGTTCCAAAGGCCCTCAAACCATCCTCTTCCCTTTTCGTCCTAGACAACCGTCGGCCTCTCGTTGGGTGTCCCAGTTAGCCTCTTTCTCGTAAGCAGAGCCATAACTAGGGACACGGACTTCGAATGGGACCTATGAAGGCATTTTTTGCCTTCTTCCAACAAATTCCTCACAATCAAACAAAATACACACGTATAAGCTTGTAGCCTCTCTCGGCCTTTTCTGCAGTCTAGTATAGAAATGCTAGGTCCCCATCTGGGCCCACTGTAGCCTGGCTGATTGGGCCAGGTCTACGGCCCACCGCGTTGTTACCCTAGAGGTGGTATCCTCCCGTTGGTTGTACAACGATAGGCGTTTTTCCTGATAATTAGTCAATCAGGACTTTCCAAAAGACTCGACTCCTATCCCGCAGAGTAATTTCTCTGGGGCGGGCAACTCCCCTTAAACTCCTACCTCGGGGGCCCGCAGCCAGGTTGTGCCGGCTAGCAGCCGTCCACTAGGGGTTGCGCCCAGGTGGCACTAAACTTTATCGTCAGCTTGGTATTCCTTTAAATATGTCTCAGAATTAGCGCAGGCGGCCAGGCGGGGCATCACAAACAATTCACAGGCCGCTGCGGGACTACGCAGGGGTCTGAAGGCATTTACCGGCCCTCCTATAATAGGCACGACATCCTTCGCTCAATCACAAATAGTCTCCCTGTCGGATCCACAAGGCCGCGGCTCCTGACTTGATTAGAGCCAACAGTCGCCCATCCTGAGGCATCTCTCGCTCTTTTCAAACAGTTCAAGCAAATGTGGTTCCTTCTCGTCAGGCTTTATCAACACAAACAAGGCTTTCTATACCAATCAGTTTTACCCACCTTTACTTAGTAAAGTGTGCCTCTCACAAAAGGTCTCGCGTCCACCCCTCCCCTCTTTGTTTGGGATGAACTTTCCCGCGGCCTCTTCCAAAACCATGAAGGGGCCCCAACAATAACACAATTCCGACCCTCCAGAACCATGAAGGGGGTCTTAATCACCAAACAACTCAAACTGAGAGACCGTCTTCTGGGTCCCCATATAACTCAAACAACAATGTTTGGTATGCCCAAGCATGCAAATTTTTGAATCCATCGATCTCATAGGATTCTCACAATTTTTCACAAACAGGCTACATTCCCCCTCCTTATACTCTGCCCTCTTGTCCGCTTGCAAGCAGACCGCACGAGTATACCGGAGGGTGGACAGCTTTACAGTTTACACAATCATGCCCATGAGGTGTATTTTGTACCCCTCTCACACAAAGCCAATCATACATCAAGATAAAGCCACACATGTGAGAGTAATAGTGGTCGTCACAAGACAAGTCTCATAGGATCTCAACTTATGATACACTCAGGGGGTAGAATGCCTCCCTCAAGACTCAAACACAAACACTCAACTCAAACTTTGTCCATCTGAGCATGGCTCACGACCCCACTGTACGCTCGCGGAACACGCTCGGGACACAACATCTACCAAAAATCTAATGGGCGCCTAACCCCCTGTCTCACCCAACTAGGGAAAACTCATCCCCAAGTCTCTCTCAAAACTCAAGTAGTCTCTGCACCGCGAAACCCAAAATGGACTGAATAGTCTCATGTGTCCTACGACCGACCCTCATGCCCTAAGTCGTAGCACATGAAAGAAAGCTCAAGGAAAGCACGATCAACTATGTATGTATAAGCAGGCAGGGACTCATCCTACCACCTCTAAAGTATGCACACATCTAGGGCCCCCTCAACCAACTAAACATATATACACCTCCAACCCGCCCTCTGTGTGCCAAATACTCTGACCCTACTGACACATAGACAGACTAGTCCCTACTCACATAATTCCTCCTGGTTCTGCCTATATAACTGAGCCCTGCCCCCATTAGGAGCTCGCTCCACTATCCTGCCCTGCTTGTCATAGAACTTGCTGTTAAACTCCGCAACTCGCCCCTCGACCTTATCCTCGAGGAGTTCTGGGCAGTCCACGACTCTATGCCCTTCCTTCTTGCACCAAAAGCAGGAGGTATCAAACCATCTGACAGTCTTCTTGTTTCTCCCTTGGGAACTTGATGCTGAAGGCGTCCCCATAGAATCAGTGGTCACCTCATGACACGAGGGCAATCCCATATGGCCCTGAGGTCCGGGCTCCATAGCCTCAACGCCCTCACCCTCTCGTACGACTGTGCTCACTGGCCTGAAGTCTGGCGTGTCCAACTCTCGGGGTCCCTCCTCATGAGGCCTCTCTGTCACAACCACCATCTCATCCCCACCTGATCCTGACGGCTGAGAGCCCACCATGGCGGTGGGCTCACTCATGACCTCCTGCTGCTGCTGCCGCCCTGAGTCAGGTCCTCCTGAGCCCGTCTCTGTGGCCCAGGAGCCCAGCTCCGCCCTCAGCTCTCCCAACCTCGGGGCATACTCTGGATTGTCGAGTCTCTGAGGCCTCTCCTGTGGAGTACCTATCCCCATGGCTGCCACCAGCTCATGCAAACGCGAGCCTCTCCTCTCCGTGGACATAGCCATAAGCGACTCCTGTGCGCCACCCTCCTCCTCGGTCGTGTCCAAGGGCACCTCCCCCATTGGCCCGACCTGTTGAGGGGCCTCCACCGCTGCTCCCTGACTTGGCGAAGCCCGCATCCCTCGGCCCTGGCCATCGGCACCAGCTCGTCCCGTCTGGCTAGCCTCTCAGGCTGCAGAAAGCCTGTCCACGATGACTGCCATCTCCCCAAATCTCTTCTCCCACTCAGCTTCTCCCGTATGGCTCCCCGCCCTCTCCTCGGCAAGCTGAGTAGTCAGGTGCTCCACCTCCAACTCTCTGACCCTGAGCTCATTGCTGAGTAGACTATACCACTGGAAGGATGTAACTGCCGTCTCGTATATGCTCCTATCCACACGCTCAATCGCCTTCCTAGTCACGGAGAACCCTAAGTCCCCCGTCTCCCTCAGCTCACCTGCCTCCTCGTCCGCCTGTCCTGTCTCTCGTGACCTCTGGCGGGCTGCGTCCCTCTGGCTCTCGTACCTCCCCCACAACTTGTCGATCCGCTGCTCACTCGTCTTGGGATCGACCGGCGGCGTCGGCTCTATCCCCGCCGCCTCCATTTCAGCCTGCCTCGCATGTATTTCATCCAAACGGACCTACACTCTGGCGGACTTCTCTTTGCGGGTTTCTCTTGAGGCTCTTCTCACCCGCGGCCCCTGGTCGTCCAGAGTTGACGCCTCGGTACCCATCCTCTCGCTCGTGCATGACAATGCTGGCGGTAACTCCGCTGGAGCAGGTTCCTCGATAACTGGGCTCTCGGTCACATGCGTGGCCGATGGCAAGTCAGGGAGTACCTCCACCTTGCTCTCTCATACGCTCCCTGACCCTCCATCTCTGCCTCCTGCTCAGGCATAGCGGTGGCCTCAGGGGGAAGCTCTGGAATCTCCTCACTATCTAGCTCAGGGACCCCCTCTGGCCAAAGCGGTCGCGTCGGCTCCGGGGCTGGGCTACACGGAGGGGTATCATCTCCAACCGTGATCACCTCCTCAGTCCGAGGTCATACCTGCCCCCGTGGCTCAACTATCATCCTAGGATCATGTGGCTCCCGTCGGTCCCGTACGTCCACCTCTGCCTCGGAATCCAAAGGCTCCTCCAACGACACATATCGTACTGGCCCAGCTGAGCCCTCTCCCAACCGTGAGGCCTCCCATCGAGATACGTCGAGGTGAGTCGCCAGGCTCCGGAACAACGTCTCTCCTGGTATGTCCAGCTCCCGCCTCGGAGGCGATGGCGAAGGCGACCGCAACTCCTCGCTCGTAATCCGCCAAAACTCAACTGCCCGGAGACCACAAGCAGGGAACGAATCCTCTTCCAGTGCGGCACCCGCGGGCTCATCCTCTCGCTGCGCTGGGGCCCTCCTCCTCTCTTTGGCCAGCTCCGCCTCCCTCGGCGCCGGTTCCCTTGGCCTCTTGCTTCGCCTTCGCCTCTCGACCCTGGGCTCGTGTCTCTCACGGCCCGGCCGTTCGAACGCCCTCCTGAGCTGGGTCTGACAGTCCTCCCAATCTTGAGCTCTTTCCCGAATCTGTCTAGCCACCGGCCTCTCTGCCCCCCTAGTCCAGATAAGTAAGGCCTGCACCCACTCCTCCCGCGCAATCCCCTAACTCAACATATAGTGCTCGTATGCAGGAATAAACTCCTCCGCGTTCCCCTCTTCAAATCGCATGGGCATGCCATCACGTCCTCTAGGGGAAACTCTCAACCTCTGCATCCCGGCCTCTACATCTGGCCAAGTCAGGGCCTCCTCACATATCTGAGCGACAGGCTCCTCAAACCGCCCTATACCCCTCAGGTGGTGAATCCTCTCCGCCACTGACCACCCTCTCTGTGTCGCATGATCCCGATACACGTCCAGGAAGAGCTCTATATTATCGTCGTCGAACTCAGGCGTAGGCTCTCTCCTAGGCGGCTCATGCTGCTCGTCCTTCCCCGCCGCCCTCTGGGGCCCCTGCCGCGACCGTGCATCCCTCCCGCCTCTCTGCATGACTGCCTTCAAGAAGTCAGACCTGCACAACAGGCGGGAGATAGCAAACAGGCGCACAGTAGGATCAACAACTAAGCCTATTGGCCTAGGAAAATCCCACATACACTCCACACCCATCCACCTCAATCACCCATACCTGGGCAATACTCTGTTCCTAACGAGGTCTCATGGTCCCTTACCTATTCCCTGGCCACGAACTTCTTCAGCCTTGTCCCTGATACCCAGTCCTGCCACCCCGCCCCATCCAACTCTTCAATTTGGTAGGTCCCAAACTCGCCACACCGCACGATCTTATAGGGTCCCAACCACCGTTTGTCGAGTTTCCTAGACCATTGTTTTTCCAGCGGGGAGTCATACAGCAGTACCGCATCTCCAACCTTTAGCGGATCCTTTCTTACCCGGGCCATCTGGTCCCATCTCATCTTGTCTTCCATGCGGCTCCTCTCTACCTTACCAGCGGCTTCTCGCAACCTTTCCTCAGTAGCTCCCACTTGCCGCGCCCGAATATCGAGCAGTTCTTCAAAGGACAGGTTCACTTCCAGGTCCTGGAGCCTCCACGTCTTCATGAAACTTTCTATGGGAAAGGTGGCATGCCTTCCGTACTATAGCGTGGCTGGCCAAGGTCTGCTATAAGGAACTTCTCCACAGGTGCGTTCGCCTGGGGGTGCGCGGCAGTAGTATAGTTTGCTACCACGCCATACCCCGCAAGTAAGGTCTGCACCTCGTTACAGGTGAACTCCGACCCCCGGTCCATCACAAACTCTCTGACAAATGGATAGCGCACGTAGTACTCTTCGATGCACCTTGCTAAAATTGGGTCACTTTTTGTGCGAATAGCCCGACCGTCCACGAACCCGGTAAGGTTGTCCCGTGCATCGAAGATATAGTTACGTCCATTCTCCCCGAGTGACATAAACAACAGGTCCAAGTGCACGATTGCACCCACTTCCCTTTCCAACGTGGGGTGCAGAGGCTCTCCAGGCCTTTGTGCTGACCTCTGCTGGCAAGGTACACATGACTGGCAGTATTTGATGACCATAGTCAACATTCCATCCCAATGGTATAACTCGCTTATCTTTGCGCACGTGGCACTAACCCCTCTGTGCCCCACTGCTATACCATCGTATAGGGTTGCTATGACATCGATCTGCTGGTTCCTCCCACATACAATCCTCTTGGGGTTTCAGACCGTCGCTTTATAAACAGATGGCCATCTCTTACCACGTAGAGATGCCTCATCTTCTGGGCTTTAACACTTGCGTCCCTATCCCCTATCTCGCACGACAGGAGTAACCCTAACTCCCGATAGATCCCGTCATACTCTTCTGCGCAGAAGGCCTCCCTGATCTCTCCCTCTTCGAACTCATCGTCCTGGCTTTCAAGAACAAGAAGTTCACTCTCCTTAGGATCAAACGAGTCCCTCCGGTTAAAGCTCCCCTGCAGGATTGTATTAGTGAGCAAATACATCTCTCCCATTAATTTCTCATGCTCCTCTACCTGGGTTGGGCCTTCCTGTATCGTCCTTACTTCTTTTGCCAGAGTATGTGTACCCGCCAATGCCAACTTCATCATCCAGCCAACATCCCTACTCCCCCACGGATCTTCCTCCTGTAAGGGTTTGAGGACCAACTCCTCCTTTCGCTCGTACCCCTTTGGTGCTAGCCATATGGGATGCGTAACGCAGCTAGGCACCCTCAACGACCATTCATTTATGTGGAGGCGGACATCCTCCTCCTGGTCCAAGAACCCGTCGACTGGTGGGGTATCCTCAATTGACTCCTGATTCGCCCCGTCCCAGTTGATACGGCTCAGCCCATCTGCCCTGTTTTTGTCCCCTGGAATCATCTCCAGCTCAAAGTTAAACATCCAAATGCAAGTCAACCACCTCGCGATGGTTGGGTCAGATGGAGTATAACTTTTGAGGGAACACGCAAGCGCAGTAGGGTCCACCCTCAAAATGAGCCTCCTGCCAAATATATAGTTCCGGAAGCTCCTCGGGCAATGGAGTACCGCCAGTGTCTCCTTCTTAAATTGGGAGTAGTTCCTCTCGGTCGTATTGAGGGTACGACTTTCAAACCTTAGCGGCCTCTCCTTCCCATCCACATCTGCCTGAATCAGGACCCCTTCCTAAGGCAGTTGGCCCCACGTCCGTCTCGACAACGAATAACCTTTCCTCCGTGGCCTCATAATTTGGCGCTCCCAGCACCAAGCCTCCTTCCTTGAACTCCCCCTTCATCCTTTCCACAGCCTTCTCCTGGTCTTCGCCCCAGACCCACTCCTGATCTTGACGCACCAGCTTCCTCAAATGCTCCGTCTTGGTGGCGAAGTCCTTCACAAAACTCCTTCAAAACCCACAGGTCCCAAGGAAGCTTCTCACGTCCGTTATCGACTGAAAGGGGACTGGCCACTCTAGGATCTTGTCCGTTTTCTTCACATCTGGCCTCCGCCCCTTCTCATTGCAGACAAAGCCCAAAATCATGACCTCCCTCATACAGTGCTTCGACTTGGGGCCGCTCGCCGTCAGGTTGTGTTCTTCTAGTAGACCCAGAACCTGATCAATATCCTGGATGTGCTTCCAGACGAACCGCCTCACTCCTGGCATCACTTCGTCTTCCTCCTTTTCCTTTGGACCCTTGACTGCCAGATCGTCAATTTAGGGCTGGGTGATACGTGGACTAACCGTCTGCATGGCCCTAATTATGTGCCTTTGCACCATCGCCACCGCATTAGTCCACCCCTGAGGGGCTATATTCATGTGGATCAGCCCCCTTGGCGTATGCATTGCCGTCACCGGCCTATCCGGCGGGTATACAGGAAACTGGTGATATCCAGAATAAAGGTCTATAAGCGAAATTATAGGCCTTCCTGCGCATGACTCTGACAGGGCGTCAGCGTTCGGCAATCCTCCCGCGTCCCGCACCGTCACTGCATTCAATCGTTGCAAATCTTGCACCCACCGTAACGTCCCGTTCGGCTTGATAAAACAAAACCAAGGGGAGGCATACGATCCACTGGAGTAGTTTGCCACGTATGTCCGCATCTTCTTGTCCAGGTAGTCCACCACCTTCTTCTCTTCATCTGGATTCGGGTATCGCGCGCCCCTTAGATTCCATGGCTCGTGTGGGACGGTATGGATTCGTATCATTGGAATCTTATCTACGTCCAACCTCCCACGCTCGTCGTCATTAAACGCATACGTGCAATGCCTCCTCTTCATGGTCTCCACCATCAGGGTCCTCTCCTGGGGCGAAAGGAAGCCAGGCTCGCCAATTATCAACCCCTCCTCATTCTCATCATTAATACGGCACGGCCGTGCCTGCGCACGCTCCCTCATTCGTCTGATCAGTCCCCGCTCTCGCTCATAATAGGCCTCTTCATCCTCTGTAACAAGCACGGTGACTGGGCGGCACTTCTTATCTACAGTCTTGTACCGCCTTTGGGAACCCTGCTTAAGCCCTCCCCTAAAAAAGACCGACTTGTCGTTCGGGCCTGGGCCATCGCAGGGTTCCCTTTCCTTCCTGGAAGCCAATAGATCAGTTCCACTTCTCCCACCTGAGGGCTCTCCAGGACCTGCTCTCTCAATGCCTTTATAGCCTCAGGGTCCGCCATATCATGCGCCGCCACCACCTCCATCGCCTTATTTACATCGTTAAGGCTCAGAGACAATACCTCGGCCGCCCCTTCCTCCTCTTGTTCCTCCCGGAGCCTTCGTCGCGCGTACTCAGACTCCTCAAAGGTAAAGGAGCCGAGGTTGAGCCTGTTCCTCCCACTTCCGGGTCCCGTGTTTCGACACTTGATGATCTCGTAGTTCCCGCAGGCCGGATCAGATAGGGCCAGGATCATTGTCCCCTCGTGCCTGTTGAAGACCAAGTTCTCCGTTCGGCAGAGGAACGACCTCCCCAAAAGGATAGGGTGATCGACATCGGGCATGACGAAGAAGGACGTTCGTGCTCTTACCCTCCCAATTTCCACCATCACATTAGACGCGGTGCCGCAGAAAAATGCTTTGCAGTTAGCGCCACGCAGCACACCATGATCTGAGTGGTCAACCTCCAGCCCTAGCATGGTCGCATCTCGCTCCCGGATAATCTTCATCTCAGCGCCCGTGTCCACCATTGCAATACTCGGCTGGTCCCTCACCTTTAGATCCACCAACCCACATGCCACACATTTCTAATCCATCTTGGTGCCCGTCTCTGTCCACTCTATCTCCCTGGGCAGAATTGAGCTCAGGTGGACGTTGGGCACTAACCTTCGTGAGAGCCGCCCTTTTAGCTCACCACGGAGCCTTGGCGGCGACGCCAAGATGTCTTTCAGATTCATCAGATCATTATGACCCTCCATGAGCTTGTCCACCATTCGCTCCACGTCAAAACCCTCCTCCAGCCGGACCTCGTACTTCTTCCTTTTTGGCGCGCCATCGCGCAGGCTCGGCTCCGCCTCTCCCTGAATTCCTCTCTTCTTGGCCCTCTGCTCGGCTCGCCGGTCCTCTTCCTGGCGGAGCCTCTCATCCTCTTCGTAGTCACCCTCATCCTCCTCTTCCTGAACTTCCACCACTTCCTTCCTTCGTTCAGGCTCAGGCTCCTTCCGAGGAGGTGCTTGGCTAGGTGCCTTACTAGGTCCCTGGCTCGTAGTAGCCTTGCTCTGGCTCCTAGTCTGCGCAGCCTGCGCTACCCTCCCATGCGACGTAGGGGGTCTAAAGGTCATTCCCGACCTAGGGCCTGCCCCGGCCGTCGCCACACCTAGATATCCTTGCGGTCCTGATGACCACTCCGGGCCGGACCCATAGAGCATTACTTCAGGGAGATTCGCCTCCCATTCCCGGGCCTTTTCGCACATCATCCTCAACCTTTCCTGGTACCTGCCAACCTTTGCAAGCAGATCCTCCATCCTTTCCAAGATGGTCGAGGTTGACTCTCTTCCCACCTCTAACCCTTCGTCTTCTGACTCAACGATTATAGGTTCTTCCTGTATAGTCCCCGCCCTTAGTCGCTGAGTCACCTCCTCACTCTCGTCCACAATCTCTTCGACCCTCATACTTAGATCCTCCCTTTCTTGCTATATTCTGAACATTGCTGGGGCTGTCGGTGGCCCTGCCGCCGCCCGCTTGAGGGCCTCTTGCCTGATCCCTCCCGGGGTCTTAGGATCAATGTGCTTCCCCCACCTATCGTATATGTCCCCATCCATATATGAGGAGATCAGCCCCGCTAGCTCATCGTCCCGCCGCTGTTGACAGAACCGTATAGTGTGGCCCACCTCGCCACAATGCCAACAAGTTGCATTCCGCCAGTCGAAGCGGGGCGTCTCGTACACTTGGCCCCCCACCTGGCTACCTTGGCCGCCTTGGTTCTGACCCCCCTGACCACTCCAACCTCCCCCACGGCCTCCACCATTTCCTCCTCGCCCCCGGCCACCCCCTCCTCGACCCCCTTGGCCCCGGCCCCCATTGCCTTGCCCGCCTTGTCCTTGGCTCCCTCCCCCGGCCACACTAGCTTGCGAGACCTGCTGGGAGGGTGGCGGTTGGGCCACAGGCTGGGCTTGAGTCGCTGGGTAGCTCGGGGGGCCCATACTTGCGGATGGGCCCGAGTAGGGGACCATGTGTCCCGTGTGGGCTTGACTCCCTCCACATGAGACACAATGGTTGCAACTGGGCCAGGGAGCGGACTGACAATGCGGCACCCAGTGTCCGCAAGCTGGTGGCGGCCCCATGTGCGATGATCCTGCTGGCGCTGGCGCGGCCGCGGCGACAGGCGGCGGTGCGGCAATGGCTTGGGGAGCCTGCCCCTTCCCTGACCCCTGCCCTCCCAGCAGCAGGTTGCGCTGCTTCCTCTGGGCCTTAGTCAGGGCTTGGGAACCTGTCTCCTCTCCGCCATAGTCTTCGCGCCCAGCCTCCTCATCCACTGCCCCTTACGCCCGGCCTTGCGCCACAGTCACCCCTCTTTTCTGTATTTCCGCCTCATTGTCATATCCCAGCGCCGCCAATACATCCGTGACGATCCTTTTCACCCCTGGGGTCCCGGATGCGGTAGCATCCCTTTCCTTCCTCTTACGCCTCTGCAACCGCATCTGGTGCTGCTCCACCTGGTCCAAGCTCCCTTCTTCCACTCTTTTGTCTATAGTCGCCCAGGTGAGCTTCTCACTCCCTTCCCCATGCTTTGTCAATTCCGCGGCCTCTGAGTCTGTAAGCAATCCCATAAATGTGGCGCACTGCGCCTCCTCCGAAATCCCGTGGACTTTCCTCGCTTTTTTCTTAAATTCATGCACGAACGCCCCAATGGTAGAGAAGTCTTCCTTACTCATGGCCTCCAAGTCGGCCATGGTCAACAGGCCATCCCCCAGCCTGTACTTCCTCTGCACCAGGTCCCCAAACTTTGTCCAACTGCCATTGGCGGCGTCCACGACCTTACTTACTTCCCTACGGTGACTATGCAGGACATACCTTAGGACCCGTTGGAGCTTGACCTCAGCTGATAGTCCTACCGGTGCCTGCTCTGTCAGATCCAACCAGTCAGATACCCGATCCCCCTTGAAATGGAATGTCTCAACCTTTGGGACATTGCTCGGTGCCCTCTCGCGCTTGTCCAAGGCATCGATGAGGTCGTCGAGTGTCACGAGCCTCCTCCCACCGTCCGCCATCTCCTCTGGCATTTTGATTAACCGCCTTTGGCTTCAAACTTCCTGTTATAAAAAACGATAGGACGAAGGGCCCCACTCAGCAGTTCATTCCCTCACGACCCTATCGGGTTGACCCCTCAAGCATCCGACGCTCTAGACCCGGCAGACATTTCTCTTCCCATTTCCCTTAGGCCTACCTAGATAAGGCCTACCCTTACCATAAAGTCTCCTCACACATTCGCCTCATCCACGCCATCAGCCAAGCCGCCAATCAATCAAGTATTCACACCCACAGTCATATAGACCACCATACCATTTATCGCATAATCTTTCCCTTATCCACTCATATGCCTAGTTCTCCCTCATTCCCATACTCGGATATCGTTCCACCATGTACAACGGTACGCTTCCGTTATCCCTGGCAACGGCGCCACCAGTCGAGCGCATCGGTCCAGCACCGCACGCGGCAGCGAGGGACCCTCTCGGCCGCGTCACGCAGGAGTTGGACCAACCTCATCACGAACACACAAATGGAGCTTCCTTAGGCCGCTCCGGCCGAGTGCGCCAGCCATACCTCTCGCGAGCCCCTACGACAGGATAGGGCCTACGCGAGGCACAACTTACCTCCACCTTACGGGAGTTGTCACCTCCCTTCGGTGGGCGTATCCCCGCCGAGCTACCAGTCCATTGTACGAAAGCTAATCAATTGCAATCGCAGAGGTGGACCAGCCGAGGACGTTTCTCGTTCGCTGTAGCATAGGGGGTACGCACGGTAGTACGCCTATCGGGCCCGCACGCAAACCGACATCTTGGGGGCCTGAGGTCCCAAGCGCGATTCGTCGTCGGTCGACTAGGACGTATCCCACACACCATGCGCACACCATTTTACGAACACAAAAATAAAACACGCACACACATCAAACAACGCGATAACGCACATCACTCTAACAAATATAAAATAAAAACACACGCCCACGCATACACGCAAGAAAACACAACACAAACAACGTGATAACGCTCCTAGCCCCTCGGTAGCCAACCCATAACTTTTCCAACGTGGACATCAAAATGAGTGTCGCGCGTGAGACTTAGTATAAATATCGCGCGGACGCAAGGCTAACTCATATTGACTCGTAATGCAAGCATACGCAAGCAGTTGCAATGATGGCGTACTATGTGGTACCCATACTCGCGAGGCCCTTGTTAATCTCGAGGGTCGCGTTCGACACTCAAGTGTCGGCCGACGCGCGCCTTGAGGGTTAATCTCCCGACGCCAGACAACTGCTATGCGCGGTTGGAGACCACACACCCTCTTCTGCATCCTTATGCAGAGTGGGTGGTACACAGGCCCATGCCTGTGGTGGTAGTCGTCTCTCTCGGCCCTAGGGGTAAGTCCTCTCCGGGCCTAGGCGAAAGTCAAGGGGTTTGACTTTGACGGTTGCCACAGACTACAACGTCCAACCATAAAAATCTCTAAAAAGCAAGGGATAAGGGATAGGCCGACGGTCCCCTCCGCCTAAAAAAAAAAAATCATAACCCTGCGGCACCTTCCCCCTCTTCGGGTGATGCCAACGACCAACAATAATCCCAAGCATTGCACCTACGTGCGAGGCCGGCGATCCCATAACTGGTAGACGCTGGGATGACGAAGCGTCGCACGCAGATTCTAACATAAGACCGCGCAGCTACGAGCCAGCCCCACACCAACCAACGATGCCAATCGTACGTGGTAATCGCGGCTCCGGCCTGCGCGATATTGAATGGCTGAAGGAACATATCGCGAGGGGTCACCCCTCACGATATTGAACGACTGAAGGACACGTCGTTCGGCCTTCGCGACATTCTCGCCTTCAGGGTGGGGTGTCTCGCTGGGCAAAATAAATAGGTCATGTGCGAAGGGGGGGTCTCTCTCCCGCAGGACTTAGGGCTTGGGATGTCCTGGACAAGGACCTTGAATCCCGGCCCTGGACTAACGTCCGACTAAGAAACCCCCAAGGGGTGAACACACAACACCAAAGGGGGTCCTCTTTGCCTCCACCAATCTCGACTCTCGACCGGACTCTTTACCATGGGGCCTCTCAGCCTCACGCCCGCCCACCATAAGCACACACAAGTACACACCCATAGGGAACAGGGTTGCGACAATCATTTCTCACAGGCAAAGTGGGGCTTCTCACAACCATATATAGACATGTGTGATCGCTAGGCAGTCCAATCCAAACTTCCAGTCACTGAACATACTTGCAATCACATCACAGAATCAATCAACAGTCCACACACTACACGGGGTCAACCCCAACCATTCTCTATGCTCATACCCCTTTGCTTTAGTCATGCAAGCCCCAACCGCCAGTCCAACCAACCTCAATTAAATACTCAGTACCTTTGTTAAATGGCCATTCAATACAAGTCTGGGTGAAACCCTTAACAAACAGTAAAACCACCACGGCTAAAGCCTTTTAGGTTGAGTATGGAGAGTGGGTTGAAATCGAGTCGTAATCCGACGAGTCAGCAACCGACCTGTTATCAGTGATAATAAAAGATGATCCTCAAGGGATCAAGCTGAATCTAGTCCTGATCTTGAATCAGACACCCCAAATGACCTGTAACACAAAATAGGTCAAATGCCCAAGCTAAATCATCAACATATGAGGGATAACCTCCATAGCACATTCTCACTCAAAGTTACCCGCCAACTAAGTCCAAGCCTGCCTCTAAGCCAGTGCCCAAAGCAAAGGTAGACTAATGGCAGAATCTCCCTTATTCAGGGTGGATTGCCAGAATCGCCACCTGTTAAAATATAATCTAATTCAGGGTGGATTGCCAGAATTGCCACCTGTTAAAATATAATCTAACTCCTCTAATTCAAGAAATTTTGGCAGCGCTTCCCTTAGGAAAAGTGTCTTTTCAGAATTTATACAAGCTAAGATATCAAAAGCAGGAGTAATCTATGACTCTTGAAAGTCAAATTTTGTCTAACTCTCTAAATTAGTAGAAACTTGGGCAGCACCCTCCTTAGTTTTGCAGAAATTTCGGCAGCACTCCCCCTGGAAAAATACTTTCCCAAATTTTATACAAAGCTAAGTTTGAAACCTGAGACTAACTTTGACTGCCCAAAGCCTTATTTTGTCAAACTCCCTGAATTAGCAACAATTTGGGCAACACTCCATTTAGAACAGGAAGCTTTCCAGATTTTTACTTAGTCAGATATGACGAAAAGACAAGCTAAACTTTGACAAGTCAAAATTTGTCTAACTCCTTGAATCTGTAGAAATTTCGGCAGTGCTCCTCGTAGAAAAAGTAGCTTACCAAAATTTATACAAGTCCAAGTATAATAGCGAGTCTCACAAAACATAATAATCGAGCTAAGTAAAATAAAGTCAACTCAGAAAATGCAGGAATGGACCTAACTCCTATCGCTCTAGCACGTGGCGAGCCTCTAAAGCAACTACCTGTTAACCTGAAACCCAGACCAAGTAGTAACCTCACTCAGCCACATGCAGGCCAAACCACAAAGGTAAACACTCTCACCAGCCCCAAGCTCCTTTGGCAGACAATAGTTCATGCTTCCTCGGTAAGTTACCCCTTTATACCCAACTTACATAAGGCATAGATCAGGGCACTTGAACTTACAGAGCGCGCCCAACTTAGCCAGGCCCAAAGTCAGAATACCTAAACT